AGGGAGAGCGGTGGGGAGCTGAGTCTGAAAGAATGGCAGCTTTGTAGGACAGGCCACCAAGATGTGGCTCATCTTCCTCTGGGACTGGAAAACTGACTCGGGTTTGGCAGCAAACGAAAGGCTGGTCAAGTTGCCTGGGCATCCACTGTGGGGCAAAGCTCGCGGCGGGTGAGCAGGAGGGCAGCTGCACCGGAGAGTGAGTGTCTGCCACACACTTCTGGAGATCCGCCTGGGTTCCGTGGACTCAGTTCTCTGGCCACCCTGAGACAGTGAGGAGGCTCTTGGTCCCTTCTTCCAGGAGCCCTGGTGCGGGGCTGTCTCCTGTAGACAGACATGAGCTGCTTCCAGGGTTTAGACGTGGACAGCTACCTGCCCGGACCCTGAATGACCAGGACTTGTGTCGAATTGGCTTACCCTGCCTGGCGGGGGCTTTCCACCTGAACACTGTAGAAACCACACTTTCCCTGGATAGTGGAGGGATTGAGGTAAAAAGAAGTGTATACTGCACAAAGATGAATACATGCAGGAGTGGGGTGTGTGTGTGTTTGCGCACACACACACATGCACGTGCTGCGTGTGAACAGAGTGGTGAGTGTATCTGTGCCCCTGGGGACTTGAGAAGCAGAAAGGACCCCCAGCTCCTGTTCCAGTGTGGAATATTTCCCCCAAGGAAATGTGAGAAAGCACCTTGAAGAAATGGCTACATTTAAGGCTGAGACAGAAGGAATGAAGATAAGCCCGGGACATCTTTCTGCAGAAAATATCTTTGTGTACAAAGAAGGGCCTTCGAGTCGCGGAACAGATCCTGCAGGAAGGAGCTTCCAAAGCTCAGGCCTGGAACAAGCCTCCTCACAGACAGATAAATAATATCAAACTGCAACTAGAGAGTAAAACGCCTATTCAGTCCTTAAATAATTGCTTAAATAATTGCTTAAATAATTGCCCAAACAAATAACAGGATAAAGAAGAGGGGATTGCTCTGCCTCACAGAACCCAGTTATTAAACACAGAAGGAATGGGGGAAATTAAAGTCACCGTGAGCCAGGCATCATGGCTCACGCCTGTCATCCTAGCTACTCAGGAGGCTGAGGTCTGATGATGGTGATTCAAAGCCAGCCGGGGCAGGAAAGTCCGTGAGACTCTCATCTCCAACGAACCACCAAAAAGCCTGAAGTGCAGCTGTGTCCCAAAGTGGTAAAACACCAGCGTTGAGTGAAAACGCTAGAGGACAGGGTTCAGGCCGAGTTCCAGCCCCACTATGCACACTTTGTGAATCTCTGTTTCTCTCTCATGCTTACATACACACAGAGCATCACTAGATGAATAGGATATGGTAACGCCTTCTGAAGGCAAGATCATAATGGAGATAAAGTCATTTAGTACATGTTTATTCTTTTTATTGTTATTTTAAAGATGATGTGCGGAGGGGTTACAGTTAAATCAAGTCAGGTAAAGAACATGTTTCTTTTTTGATTGTCCCCCTTTCTCTTGCTGTCTTCCAGTTTTTCCCTCCCAGCCCCACCCATAAGTTGAATAGTTTATTTTCAACATAGTGTCCAGTGTGTACCACTGCTGCATTTATTCACCCTTGTACGTGTTCATTCCGAAGCAGAACAGCTGTCCAGTCACAAAGCCTCACACACAAGACGTGTGTCCATGCCAAACGGAAAGATAGTAACTGTTAGGAAAATGGAAGAGAATAGAAAAGGAATAGAGCGGACTCGATTGTCAACTGTCTGGGACTGTTGATTGCCAGCGAGGGACACAGACCTTTCTGTGGGGTTTGGAGGTTGTGCCAGGGATTGGATTTGGGGGCCAGGTTTATATGAGGCTTAACAAGGAAACAAAGGAGTGAGAATCAGGCTGTAATTACTGTGGAGCTAGAGCCAGAGATTTTCTGGTAGGTCCAGAATGGAAGGTCTGGCCTGGGGTGACGGGGACTTTCGTCCAGGCCTCGGTTAGAATCACCTGCCTGGGGTCAGGCATGTGTGTGGACCAGCCGGTTCGTGTGCTCCTGGTGTCTTGTCTGAGCTGGAAGAATAAGGCGGGAGTCAATCCTTCAGAACTCAGCGGACATTCCTGGAAGAAATGACTTCTAATTAAGCTATCCAAGTTGGCATCACCATGAATGGGACGTGTGATGGGTCAAATAGGAAATGTGTCTGGAAATCGCAGGCTGAGAAGGATGAGCCTCCCTTTGTCAACATCTTACCAAGCATGTACAACTCCAGTCAAAAATCACGAGAAAACATCAGCAGATCCCAAGTCAGGCCCATTCCACAGCCCCACACTCCAGCGCTCCATAAAAGAGCCCAGAGAACAAGAGGCAAGGCCAACCCAGGCACTGCCGCGCCCATGGAGGCTGGAGACAGCGAGGACCAGGAGGGTACCGCGATGGGACCCTGGATGAGACAGCGAATCTTGGATTATAAAAAAGAATAGGCCCAGTGCAAGTAAGGTCTGGAGTGTAACAGTGTTTTTCTAGCAGCGTTAAATTCTTGTCTCTGTATTCGGGTATTGTACGATTCTTCATTAGAGGACACGAACGAGGCCTGTCTAGGAACCTGGTACCGACATTCAAAGACAATGAACTTGAGATCTCGCATGAGGTTGTCCACATTTTTTCATCTGTCATCTCTCTAGTCTGACAGGGAACACAGGACCTTGAAAGCTGTGGGAGTGGTTGGTCCCCACCCTCTCAATCCCTACCGGAAGTCACCAAATAAAAGCAGCTTGCAAACCCTTCCCAGCCAGCCCGAGGAGCTGAGCCCAGCGAGACGCCACCCGCCACCCGCACATTCATTCGGTTAGTACTGCCTTTCACAATCTTCATAGATGGTTTCCAGCTTGCTTCACCAGGAAAACATTTCCAGGGTGGTATGTTGGCTTGAGGATGTTATGTTTTTATTGTGCCTTCTTTGCCTGCTCAGGAAACAATTCAAACATTGTGGATTTACGTCTTTCAGGAAAAACGAGAACCAAGATTGGGGGAAAATGAGGGCAGCAGGTACTGAGTTCCTGTCAGCAATCTGAGAGCCGCTGCGCGGGGGCTGTCGGAGCTGACATGAAGTTGGGCTGTGGATTAAAATAATTGATTAGTGTGTTTTGTACGGGATTTGACACACAACTATGCTGGACTTAAATTGGGTATGGTCATCCCTTTTGGGTTGAAAATCACATGCTATCGGCTTGGACACTAGTCATCTCTGCCTGCCAATCATGAAAGTTTTAGCTGCCATAATTGGTTTCACAGGTAATTGGTTATCTTCCTATTAGTCTGATTTGGAGACCATAATGCAAGCCATTTCTACTCTCAATTCCTTTACTTCTTTCTTCCCTCTTTCCCTCCCTTCCTTCCTCTCCCCTTGTTCTCTTGATCTTCCTCCACCTCCTCCTTCTGCCCCTTCCTTCAGTGTTGCTGAGTTCAAAGGGAGGAAAGGGCAAAGGTCCTACAGTTGAAAGGAAATCTGCACAGAGATTGTAGAGTAGGGGAACAAATGGACCTGGATATACCTTTTAGGTAAACTTAAGAAACGCAATGCCGTTCTCTAGAAATGTTGTGTTCCCAGTTCTGAAAAGAATTTTCCAGTATCATTAATTTGCCACATTTAATATTTCCTGTGCTACCCTGCTACCAAAGTACTCACAGAAATATTTTTTGACCAATTTGTATGTATTATGCAGGAGATTTCCACTGCTTCTATGATTCTGTTTTAACAGCAGAATGGAAGGGATTTTAATTAGTTTTTTTTAACATTTTGCTTCTATGATCTTCACTTATTACTTAATTGCTATGCATTAGCTATTCTTAAATAATAAGCCATATTTTAAGTACATAAAATATGCAGCATTTGAACTGTCAGGCCTGTGATATCTACAGAGTGGACTAAACTTCGCAGCACGTACTGCGCTCTTAAAAGAATGTGTGGATTCTTTGCTTCCCATAAACTCACAATTATAGCATGTAGGAGGATGGGCTGCAAGAAAAATATGTGTTGCAAGAAGGGAAACTTCAGTGATGAAAACAGCTTGAATATATTAGAACTGAGTTCATGTGTTGTCAGAAACTAGCAAGCTGGCAGTCACTCTCCCGTTCTCAGAGGCCGGGTAGTCCAGTTCGCACAGGCCCTCTAGCTCTGTAACTTGGGAGCGCCTGGAGGAAGAGCTAGACCCATCAGCCAGCGCATACTTAACTTGATGATATTCGCAAGTCACCAAGTGCTACGTGGCAGCATGGCCATCAGAAGTGACGTAGAACAGTGCCGCCCTTGCTTGACAATGACTCTGGGGCTTCCTCAACATACAGCCCCGCGGCCTGCTGCTGAGCCCGCTGGGCTCTGTGTGCAGCTTCTCCTGGACGCCTCCTGTGCTGGTCTCCCCGGCAGCTTGAACAGAGCTGTGGTTCCCAGCCAAGGGAGAGTTTGCTTCCCAGAGTGCAATGTGGCAAATCTACAGGTGGCCTTGGTTGTCATGATTGGGGGCGGCAGGGAGGAGGGGAGAGGGCCCAGCACGGCAGCATGGGGGTGGCTTAGCAGAGGTACTGCAGTGCTCAGGGGGACCCCCACAACACAGACCTGCCTGGCCCCCCAGATCATCACAATGGAAAAGCAGTGGGAGAGGGCAACAGGAGTCGTGCAACTTGCTTTGCAGGACCCAGTCAGGTGTGGAACGAGTTTTGTGTGTGAGGACAGAGAAAGAATGGGCACTTCCCCCCCCCCCCGTGGGGCGGAGTTAAGCGTGGGTTCCAGCCCGGGCACCTCTGTTCCCATCCTCTAACTGAGGATGGATGGCCACCTAAGACTGGGTCTGTGCGATGTCAAGATGGCGGCCATCGTGGATGAGCATTCGGGCCAAGAGAAGACCTTGCAGGGCGTCCTCTGTGCTCTCCATGAAGAAGGCCCATATTCCTTGTGTAGGGTTGGGTCATTAGCCACAATCCCAACGTACTTCTCACTTCTCAGTACTCATCTGTTCATTTGTACCCATTCAGGGAAACCAAGAGGCTGCTAACATGGCAGAGAAGCCTGTGCTCCACTACTTCAACGCCCGGGGTAAGATGGAGTCTATCCGCTGGCTCCTGGCTGCCGCTGGGGTGGAGGTACGTTCTGGGTTGGGTCATCCTCGGCTGGACTTCAAATGGACCTTGGCAAAATACTTTCATAAGCCAGGAGGTTTCTATACTAGATAACCTGGACGTAACTGTATCTGAAGTAAAATAATTTCTAGTTAATCAGAAAGTAGACAGATTGCACCAGATGAAACTTCCAGCAATCGATCCACCATGCATCACATAGTTGATTAAAAGTTGTGTGTGTGTGTGTGT